TCCCTTATGCTCTTTACTACCCTTTTGTATCTAACATTTACCAAATTATGTATTAATCAATGTTCTAACTTAATTAAGTATTATTCCATTGATTACGTTGTCCAATTTCGGTTTGGGCCTTAATGGGCCTAAGGTCTAATTTTTCCTAAATCAATTTTTCTTTAGATTTTCATGAACACTTTTATTGTAAACCATCCTTTTACATTATCTTGAGCATGAATGAACTAATTTAGGGTATGGAACTTAATTTAAACTTGATTCCCAAAATTTCTCATTTAGGCCAAATATTTCACCATTTAATTTCTTAAGATTTTCTTCTCATTTTTTCCTACCATTTTAATACTAAGTAGCCTAAATATTCACTCTGTAAGAATCAATTTAACTAAAATTTAGAACCGTAATTCCTGCCAAAACACTGGGCCTAAGCCCATATAATCCATTTTCTTCAATTTTTAGCAAATTTTCCATTTCTACTCATCCAAATATGCTTATTCAAGTGTGAATGACCCATCAAAATAGAATAAAATTGCTTTGAACTAAAACCCTAATTTATTTAGTTTAGGCCCAATATAATTTCTAAAAATAAGTGGATTTTTCTTCAATTAAAGTGTAATTTTTCATTCCTAAACATTAATTCATACTCAAATAAGTCAAAATCAAGTGCCAAAACACAGATTAAATAAAAGAATTCAAAACCCCCAAATTTGGTTCATTAAGAACCCTAACCCTAACCCTAATTTTTCTCAATTGAGCAATTAAATCAAATCAAGCAATTAAAAATAAAATTGACTTGAAATTAAGCATGCTTGTGGTGTAGGTGACGTTAAATTACTTGTTTGAGCTCCAATTAGACTCTAAAAAGGTAGATTGGTGAAGGATTTCTCTTCCTCCTCTTTTCCTCTAAATTTTTGAATTTGATCTTTGCATTTTTCCCTTGAGATTTTTGTCTTTCCACTTAAAATTCAACTTCTTCTATTGATTAGAGGTGGATAGAATTTATTAAAAATGTTTTGGGTGATTTTTAGGTAAGAATTTTGTAAGAGTTTCCTTTGTGTTTTTCAATTTTTCCTCCCCTTTTTATTTTTCCAGCACACCTATTTATATGAAATTTTTTGGAATAAATGACCTCATCTCCACCTTTAATGTGGAAAAATAACAGACCCTTAATTAAATTTTCAATCATTCATTTGCATTTGTTTTAATTTTTAACCATTTATTCATCTTTTTATTTAACCCTTCGACCTTGCTTATTTTTTTCCATAATTTTTACTAGAAGTCAGACTTAATTAATGCTCTAGTTAGGCTAAATTTGGAAGGAAAATGACAAATTTTGGTCCTCTAAGTTTCTAGACTTTTCCATAACCTATTCTTTCCTAAATCCCTCTTTTATGCAAAAAAAAAATCACTTCTAACCCTCCCTTTTCCGTTTCTATGACTAATTTTTTACCCCTAACATTCTTATATAATTTAATTTGTATTATTAAACTTTTAATTTTATGCAATTGAGTCCCTAATTTTATACAATTTAGTCCCTACTTTTAAAATTTTGTACCATACTCTTCAAAAATCCAATTTATTTTCATAATAAATTCAAATATTTATTAAGGTATTTTATTTTAAATTTTTATAATTTTTAACCTCATTTGAGCCTCTAAATTAATTATTTAATGTGAAAATCACACTATTTTTTATTAAAAATATTCCCTATACTTAATAAAATTAATTTAAATTTTCTAGGAACTCTCACACCTCCCATATGATTATTATATGCTCTTAAAAAAATTCCTCATACTCTTAAGGTGCCTAATTAAATTCTTTTCCTCTAAAAATACTATTCCAACACATCAAAATTCAAATAAAATATTCATAGCACATAATAAAATTCACCCAAGTACATAAAATAATTCAACACCCTTTTAAAAATTATTCTAAGCACACAAACTATTTTTCATGCTTAAACAACATGCTTTGATTAGTTATTTCATACACAAACTACTATTCATGCATCATAAAATCAATAACATATTAATTAAGCATAAAATGACTATTTTATCTATTTTGAATATTTTCTCTAATCTTTTTGAACTACTTTATATCTTCAAAATATATCTCATATGTTTTTAAATATTTAATTTTTATTTAATTTTAGTTTTAGCGAGTATCGGTTATTACGAATGGTGTAAGCAGTGGCATAGTATCGGGCATCCGGTGTCGTTGTGGACACGCTCGCTAGTGTAGTAGTAGGCGCGAGTAGGGCTAGTGAGGGGAGGCACCGTTGCGGAAGTCTACCGTGGGAAAGAGGGGTAGAGGCGGTGTATGGAGGTGCATGAGTGAGAGCTGCTGTGGTGGGAGGCACTCGCGGCTGGTAGCGTTGGGGGAGTTGCTATGTGTGTGTGTGAGAGGCGTGGGCGGTAGGTCGTTGGCGCGATAGAGGAGAGGGGAAGAGATGGCTGGCGGCTAGGGTTCCTTTTGGTGGGTGAATAGTAGATGATGATTTTTTTGGGAGAAATGGATGCTTTTCTATTAGGTTTTTAAGGCTTTTTTTTTTAGCTAAAAGTCTTTTTAGTCCTTTATTTTTCAAACCCACTTTATTTTGGTTCCCTCTCCTTTCTTTTTTAATTGCACACCCCAATTGCATTATTTTTTTACTTCCTTTTCTTTTCTTCTTTTTCTTTTTCTTCTTTTTTGGACCTAAAATTGGGTGCTAACAATCCATATTATTTTTTTCTCGTCCTTTTACTAAAAATGATTCTCCAAAGACTTGAATGGATTATGGCTAATTTTTTATAGAGCTCGACATGAGAGTCTAAGCATCATTGAGTATCTTGAGATTGGGTGTGTTGACCTTTGTCGGAGGGTGGTTTGGGTATCCGTAGTTTGTCTTAGGTTATGGATGCTTTATAGGCTAAATTGACTTGGTCTTATCTTCAAAGTCATAACTTATGGGCTAAGATCACAATAGCCAAATATGGCTCTTTCCCCAGTATTGTTCTTATTCCTCTTACATTTTGAAGGCCATTTTCAATCATTTTACTTGTCTTGGAAGGTTGTATTTCTTGGATTGTGGGTAAGGGTTTAACTTCTTTTTGGAGGTCTAATTGGTGTGGAACTATTGTAAATCCTCCCTTACCACTTGGACTATAACCTGTTAGTAAAGGAGGCTTTTGCATATTTAGATGATTTTTTTCCTTTCATTCCCTTTTAATATCATGATTCCGTAAAGGTTATTCAATGAGAAGAGGGTTTAAAGGATAAGATGGTTTTCGGTTTATCTAAAACACATTGTTTTGAATCCAAATCCTACTAAAATTATTGTAGATAGCATCATCCACGAGTTTGGTGGGCTAACTCGGTTTGGCATTCTTGCATTCCTCCTAAAGTAGGGGGTTTATCTTAAAGTGGTTTTATGGGGCTCTTCTAGTGGATTCGAGGATTCGGGATTTGACCATTCCTATAATCTCTATTTGTAGGCTGTTGTGTGTCGTCTAGAGAGGAGTCGATTGATCATTTTTTTTTCTATTCGAAGTTAGCTCTACAATTTGGGCTAGATTAGCACTTTATTTTGGTATAAGGAGTACATATGCAACCTTTTCGATTTACTAAATGCATGGATGGGCTTCACTTCGACATAAATGGTATGTGTTGGGTAATTACCCTTTTCTTTTCCTTTTGGGAGATATGAAAACACGGATGCAAGGCAAGATTCGATAAGATTTTCATGTCTATCGATGCCTTTTTCGATAAGGTATGTCGACATCTTTTCGATTAGGTTTGCCGGTCCTATCGATTGCCTTTTGACGGAGGTAAATGTTTTCATTGGCTGCCACATGTTGATGATCACTATAAACTTAATATGAATGGATCTTCTATAGATGGTTGTTGTATTAGTGGTGGTGTTATCTATAATTTTGGAAGGCAATTCTTAGTAGCATGTACAAATAATTATGGCATAGGTACACATACAAGAGCAAAACTTCGAGCTTTATGTGAAGGTCTTCTACTATGACATGAACTTTTTCTTAATAATATTATTATGGAGGTCGACTCGAAGTAAGTGGTCCAAGTTATTTTAGGGCTCTCCTCTTTGCCTTGGATCTATAATTATCATGTGAGGCATTGTTTCTCCTTACTTTTGGGACACTCCCTCTCTCACGTGTACCGAGAGCAAAATATGGTTGTAGATAGGTTAGCTTTTCATACACATTTCCTTCAAGGTAAAAACGTTTATTTTTGTTTTTCTACTTTTCCTTTAGAGGTTAAATTGTCTTTTCAACTTTATAGATTTGGTTTTTATAATTATTGAAGTTGAGGTAGTTTTCTTTACAATTGTAACTCGAGTTTATTTTTAGGGGTTTAGACTTCCTTGTCCCCTCATTTTGTTTGGTAATGCTGGATTGTCCGCCCCTAGTATGTTTTCTTTTTTATTAATAAAATTTGTCAAGGCTCTGCATTTTTTTTTTTTAAATTTATAGTTAAGCTGTAACATTGTTAAATACAATACTCATATCACTAGCTAGCTTGGATTTCATTTTATTTTTATTTTTAGTTTTTGAAAATATGAATTTTCTCTTGGTTTATTATGTTTACAATAGACATCATGTGATTCCATTGTAAAATGGAAGAAAATTATATAAAAAAAATCGATTTGGTCTCGTTATATATTTATGCACTGAGAATAACAATTTAATGAAAGAGATAATATTATGGAACAAAAAGAAAAAAAAATCAAGAATAGATATAAGTTAAAATCGGTACTCCAAATCTAATTTAATTTAAAAATGAGCAGGTTTCACAAAATTAATAAAGTTTCCAATAAAATCACTTGGGCTAGCAAAGTTGGTACTAGGGCTAGTCATGAAATAAAATCTCCCATCTTGATATTGACATTCTTTCCATGAATCCTGTCCTATAATCAATAGAGAGCACAAAAATAAACGCAAAAATCCTTTCACTGATATAGCTAGCTATCCAATACAATTTTTTCCAATTCACACCATGGATTACTTACTAATAATCCGAGTTAATTTAGGCTGCCCCAAAATTCTTATCAACTGAAATTTGAAAACAAGTTTTCCTAAATTTCCTCTTTCTTGCCAGTATTTTTCCACCAGATATAAGCCATCATAAACATATAGCGGGTTCAAATTCTTTTGTCGGTTGATACCTTTAAAAGCAGATATGGATGCCTTGGAGCCCTTGAAATTTTGTTGACGGATGACTCTTACAGGAATCCTTGAATCCATACTATTCCTCAGTGCAAGGTTTCCATGTTCAAGTTTCTGATCTCTAAGTGGTAACTGCTTCCTTAGAATTGAGGGATTTCCACCGTAGCCTGAATATATCAAGACATCAGATGATTTCATGTCATTGGCATAACGCTTAGTTGCAACAATGCATGTGGCCAGTTTCCTCCCGTCCTTTGTCATGTAATCTATACCAGTGAAAAAGTTTCCATGAAGGCCAATAATATTTAGTTCAGCTCTGAATCGAAACCTGTCGCCAACCTCAACTCCTGGAATATGTCCAATCCGTTTGCTCGTATTAGACCATTTATGGCGACTTTTAAGAATAGTTGCTGCTTCTATATAGATTTTAGCCTTGGGTCCTTTCAGCTTGGCTTCCTTTTCCCCCAAGAGCTTGGTCAGAATCTCCTGGTACAGTCCCAAAACCTTCTTCACTTTACTACGACTACTAGCACTTGATTCTTGATCCTCATCAATGTCTCCATAAACAGGAGATTTGATCATCCTAATATCAGCTCCCAGTGGTTCAGGGTCCGCAAAAGCCTTCCCATTGTAAGGGACACTCTCCTCGGAATCAAAATTGGAATGTTGATTCCCCTTATAGTCGGTCGTGACGTAGTCCTCAAAAGGATAACAAGAATCCTGTTTCCCTACAGGAAAATCCTGCTTGCTTGAAACGCCTTTCATAATCCTTGAACGAGGACACGTTCTTGGGATGGTTCCAGCGACACGGTTCTCTAGTGGCTCATCCATAAGAATAGTGTCCGAAAATCCATCTTTTGAAACAGAAAAAGAATCTCGTTTCCCACGACCAGCTGGAAAATCCCGTTGGGAAAATCGTTTTAAAATGCCTGAAGGAGGAAATTTCTTTGGTGCAGCTTCCATTGAAAGGCAATTAAAAGCAATATTATCTTTACGCTTAATTGAATTTACCACAATTGGAAACCTTCCACGCCCTCCAGGAAATTGCCGAATAGTTTTTGGTATTGGTTGCTTCAACTTTGATGAACGCCCAGAATCTGACTCATCCATCTCGGGTGGATTCAACAAGACCGTGACGAGTTCTGTTTGTAAATATTGGAAGATATATCATTATGGTTAAAATCAAAAGTAACAGCGGAAAAAAGAGCAAAAAAAAAAAACTGAAAGCCACGAATGGTATCATCTGGCAAGAACTAAAACACAGAACCATAGCATAAGATCGCCGAATTACATTTTGATACCAAAAGGTTATGATTGTGTGTTTAGGTCCCAAACCTCAAGAAGAAAAATTAAAACACACCAAAATTACAAACCAAAAATCCCCTCTCTCTCTCACCTTTAACTGAAGAAAATTATTTCAAAATTATTATTTCACGATCTAGTACAACTTTTAATTACCAATATCAAACTTTCTCTCTGTTTTAAGGATTTGAAAGTAAGTGACAGATATTAAACTCAAATAATTAAGAACTGGCTAGATTTTTCTTTTGCAAACGTAATATTGCAACTTATTATTTGCTAATTCCTTTGCCTTGATTTACTGTAATAATATATTATTTTATTTTGGATTAAACCGGAAAATGATTAATTTTTTGCACAAAACACAAAGAAGCTCCAAAACCATATATGCCCTACTAAATCACATATAATCTGTCACGTACTACTTACTAATTGATAAAAAGAAGCAAGAATTCACTTAAAATTTAAACAAGTACATATGCAATAACCGCATTGGTTTTTTTTTTCCCCCGAAGATGAAAGCATTCCCCAGAAGGAGAACACATAGCACAGTTGTTAAAAAGCAAGCTTAATATATATATGGATTGTAAAGTAATTAAGAAAATAATCGAAAAGAGAACCTGGCAGGAGGGATGGGAAAGAATTAACCTTCAAACCCTTTTTAAGCCGATGACTTTGTCCCTGAGGGAACCTGAAACGTTTTGGGCTGTTAGAGTAGAGGTTGATAATTTAATTAACAAATGAGAGCAAAAGGGTTAGGAATTTGGAAGAGAGTGGTTCTAGCTAGTCATAAGAAGGATGTGAATTAAAGGGATGCATGAGAATTTCGTCGTTACTCACGGAAATTGCCAGGAAACACACTCCTAATTACTACTACCCTATAATTAGCTACTGCTTTCTTCAGTCTATGCAACTTCCTTTACCATTTTCAAGTGTTCGATTTAGACACGCAAATAGGGTCTAGCCCATCCTTTCGATGGCAGGAGCAAGACACTTCTTTCTCGCAAAAGCCATGTTTTGTTTATCAATTTGAAAAATACCAGGAGATTACTAATAATCTAAAAAAGAAGGCACTTTTACTGTGCCTTCTATTATTTCTTCCACTGTTTAATGAACAGTGTTTTTTTTTTTTTTTTGTTGGGGGGGGGGGGGGGGGTGAACCCAGCAGCCAAGCCTTATTTTTTTGTTCCCTTCATATATGCCTGGGCTTTTTTTTTCCTTCTATATATATATATATATATATATATATTAGTATATATCTAAAAGACGTGGGGTTCTGGCTGTTGGGAAGCCTGTTCCCTTTTCTTATTAGTTTTATATAAAAACTTTGTAACTGACGTAGAACAAAGCATTTGTAGTCCAACGGTTATGATAATTGTTTTCTAAGGAACAAACCCCGGTTCGACTCGCCATAAATTCAAATTTATCCAGCTGCTTCCTTTCTCGTTTTTTTTTTCCTGGTATACTTAATACCCGAAAACAAAAACACATTACTGTGTAATGTGTTTTGTTTTTCTTTTCTCCCGGCCTTTCTTCTACTTTTTACAAGCAAGTTTTTTTTTTTTTTTTTTTTTTAAGTTTAGTTTAGTTTCACTATACATGTTTTTTTTTTTCCCTCCTTTGCTTTTTTTTCCCATCAATTTAGGTTCTATTTTATTTAATTTTCAAAAATTTTTAAATTTCTTTTATTTTGATCTCTAAAATTTTAAAATAAAAATTTTAATCCCCTAACTAATGCTCTACTATTTTTTTTCATCAATCTATATTCTTTTTTTATTTAATTAGGTGTTAAAATCTTGAAAATTCAATTTTGCTTTTTTTTTCCATCAATTTATGTTTTTTTTTATTTAATTAGGTGTTAAAATTTTAAAAAATCAATCATTATTATTTTTTACACAAACTGACTATTATATAATACATACAATATTTTTTATATTTATATGCTTCTTTGCTTTTTTTTTTCATCAATTTATGTTTTTTTTATTTGATTAGGTGTTAAAATTTTGAAAAATCAATTAGTATTTTTCTTTTTTACATAAACTCACTATTAAATAATATTACGTTATTTTTTTTATATTTATATGATATATTCTCTTTTTTTAGTTTCATTATACATGCCTCCCCCCACCCCCCCCCCCACCCCCTACTCTTTTCATCAATTTAGTTTCTTTTTATTTATTTATTTATTTTAAATTTTTAGATTATTTTATTTTGATCTCTAAATTTTAAAATAAAAAATTTAATCCCCTAACCGATACACTATACATGCTTTTTTTTCTTTGTTTTTTTCATCAATTTATGTTCTTTTTTATTTAATTGGGTGTTAAAATTTTAAAAAATCAATCATTATTCTTTTTTTACACAAAGTGACTATTATATAATATATACGATATTTTTTACGTTTATATGATATTTTTTAAGATTTTAGAATAAATAAACTACTATTATTGTTTAAAATTGATTTTTTCGATAAAAATTCTCATCAAGTTAACTTTTATTCTTATTTTTTATATAGTTTTTTTATTAATAAATATGACTTATTTTCTCTATGTAAGGATTCGAATAAGCTTTTTTTATACCTTTTTATTTGTTTAATTCTTATATAATCAAATTTTAATTGAATATATGTATTTTATTTTCTTATTTTTATATAATTAAATTTTATCAAAATCAGTTTTATAGTTTTTACTGCACTTTATTAACTTCAATATATATTTTACTATTTAATTTTAAAAAAATATTTTTTTATTATATTTTATACATTCTCACCTATTGAGTATGGTCATAATGTATAAAAATAATAATATTAGAGTCATTGATTTTATTAGAAATCAACTATGCATCTACACACACAATGCCAACTATTTGCTATTACTTTTTTAATATTTAAAATGATTTTTTAAATAAAATAATTGAAATGATATTTCAGAATAATTTCCTAATAATTCAAATACAATTTTGTATACTAATATTATTCATTATTTTGCAAATAACTATATATAAATTAAATGTATATATTTAAAAAAACAACCTTCTCATCAATAAAAAAAAGTTTCATTTGTTAATTCTTATACAAGTTTTTATATTAATTTTTGCTTTATTTCTTTGATGCAATGTAATGAAAAAAATATTAAGATGTTTTTTTCTAAATTTTATATTAAAATTTATTTATTATAGGTTTATATATATATATATATATATATATATATATATATATATATATATATATATATATATATATATATATATATATATATATATATATATATATTATATTTTTATGTTTTAAAATTAACATATACTTCAGCTTATATTACTCTTATAATTTAAATTTCATTATTTGAATTTATCATTTCTTATGAAAATTCTCATCCAATTAATATTTTTTTATATTAGATTTTATTTACTAATAAATATAATTTATTTTTCTCTATGTTTGAATTTTAGAATAAATTTTTAAAACATGATTTTTTTATCTTTTAAAAAATAAATTGGTATAATATATATCATGAATTCTTACAATTTTTAAATGATAGTTGCGTATATATAAATATATAATTATTTAATTCCAAAATGTTAAAAGTGTATTTCGAGTTCACTAGATATGGTCAAGACATATAAAAAAACTATTGAATCGTTGATTTTAATTAAAATTACCTATATATCTTCCAACATAGTACAAATTATTTATCATGAATATTTTTTAAAATTATAGAACTAATTTATTTGAAATAAAAAATTAAAATAATGTTTTAAAGGAATCAACTAATTGTTCAAATACAGTTTTTTATGCTAATTGTATTGATTATTTTATAAATAAATTAATAATTATAGATCTAATGAATATACTTGAAAAGAAAAATAATCTTCTCACCAATATTAAATTAATAATTATAGATCTATTAATTGTAATTTTATGTTTTTGATACATTCTTATAAAATATATATATATAATTTTAAAGTACTTGCTTTTGAATTCTTAATTAATATTTAAAGTTTAAATTATTATAAGTTTTATTTAAGAATTCCTGAAAAAAAATAATAAATTAAATTTTTTTTAATCAGAAATTTTATGAAAAAAAATTGTAATGATTAAATAAAAAACTAATGAAAAAATTATAAAATTTTTAAATGATTTTGTTTTATCTACCCGTAGCCTTGCGCAGATAATTTCAAAATTTAATCTTCTCATCAACATTAAATAAGAATTTTTTTCTTATTCGTTAATTTTTGTAAAAGTCTATCCATTAATTATAACTTTATTTTTTGAAATAAAATATTATAAAAATTATATTTTAAATTTTTTTAATTCTTGATTAATATTTTAGTTAAAATTATTATTTTTTTTATTTTAAAATCAATCCATGAAGAAGAATTATTTATGTTTTTTAAGCGGACAATTTATTAAAAAATTTAAAAATTAAGCAAATAAAAAAATTATAATTATAATTTTTGTAAATTTTAAAATGATTTTTTTTATCGGACCATGACAGATAGCACTGGCAAGTGACTAGTATATTCTAAAACACTAACCACTTTCACTATGCAATCATTGTTTCTTTCACTCTGTAATGAACAATGTTTTTCCCGATTGCTTTTTTTTTTTTCTGTCGGGATTGCTCGGCCAAGCTTTCGGAGAATTTTTTGTTGTCCTTTTTTTGTAATTTTTTTTTATTTTGGTCATTAAAAATTTATTATATTTGATTTTTATCCTTATAATAAATATTTTTTTCTTGACTTTTAATAAAAAATTATATTTTTTGTTCTATTTTGTGATTTTTATTTATTTTAGTCATAACATTTTTATTATA